TTATATGGTCTTTGTTTTTACTTCTGTTTATGTGGTGAATTATATTAATAGATTTGCATGTGTTGAACCATCCTTATATCTCTGGGATGAAGTCCAGTTGGTTGTGGTGAATTGTTTTTGATGTGTGGCTGAATTTGGTTTGCTAAGATTTTATTGAGAATTTTTGCATCTATATTCATAAGGAATATTGATCTGTAGTTTAATTTTTTTGTTGCGTTCTTTCTTGGTTTTGGTGTCAAGGTGATGGGGAGTGTTTCTTTTATTCTCCATTTTATGGAATTAATTCTGCAGGATGGGTACCAGTTCTTCATAGGTTTGGTAAAATTTGTGTGTGAACCCCTTTGCTCTGGGACTTTTTTTGGTTAGATTTTTTATTGCTGCTTCAATTTCAGAACTTGATACTGGTCTGTTCAGGGAGTCTGCTTCTTCCTGATTGAGGACAGGGAGTTTGTATGTTTCTAAGAATTTGTCCATTTCCTTCACATGTTCTGGTTTTTATAATATTCAGTATAGTATAGATTTTCATAGTATATAGAGATGATATTTTTGTGTTTCCATATTATCAGTTGTCATTGCTCCTTTTTTATTCTTGATTGAGCTAATTAGAGGCCTTTCTCTTCTGGTTAATCTAGCAAGTGGCCTGTCAATTTTATGTTTTTTCCAAAGAACAACTTTTTGTTTTGTTAATCTGTATAGGTTTTTTGTACCTATTTCGTTTAGTTCAGCTTGATCTTGGTTATTTTTCTTCCCCTGAATTTGGGATGGGTTTGCTCTTCCAATTCCAGTTCCTTGAGATGATTCATTGTATGGTTGATTCATGGTTGTTCTGTCTTTTGGATGTAGGCGTTTATGGCTATGGAGTTTTCCTCTCAGGACTCAGTACTATCCCACAGATTTTAGTAAATTGTGTCCCCTTTAACGTTTAGTTCAGTGAATCCTTTATTTCCATTTTTATTTCCTCCTTGACCCAACTATCATTCAGCAGTAGGTTGTTTAGTTGCCATAACTTTGTGTAGAGATGAGTGTTTCTTTTGGAGTTGATTTCTCATTTTATTACACTGTGGTCTGAGAAGATGTGTGTTACAATCTCTATTTTTATTGAATTTGTTGAAACATGGTTTGTGGTGAGAATTATCTTTAAAAATTCAATAGACAGGCTCGGCGCCTGTAGCTCAACCAGCTAAGGCGCCAGCCACGTACACCTAAGGTGGTGGGTTCGAATCCCCATCCCGGACCCACCAAACAACAATGACGGCTGCAAGCAAAAAATAGCCGGGCGTTGTGGCGGGCGCCTGTGGTCCCAGCTACTTGGGAGGCGGAGGCAGGAGACTTGCTTGAGCCCAGGAGTTGG